GATTATGAAATTTTTGTAATGGATAAAAACAAATAAATCTGATTAAAACACTCTTCTCATAAATCAAACTGCCGAATCTGAATTTTGCGATGAAACTTTCGGTGTCATGTTCATAGCAACAAGCTTCCCGTCCGGTCCGGTTCTCAGTTCGTTCATACCAGTCACAGGTAAACCAATTCCATGGTACTGTGGAGGTGGTGGTGCCGCCTCCGTATAGTAAACTTGTTTCCCCATTCCTCCGGTGTAAGTCACCTGAGAAATATACGCCGTTGTCTCTGGTAATCCGACGACTTGTCGCGGCGGTGGAACGGCGGAGTATTGCGGCGGTGGAGGACCGGTGGTAAAAGGCTGATGAGGTTGTTGTTGTACTTTCGTTCCAATCGGTGGCTGTGGCTGTGGCTTAGACATGGTGTAAGCTTGTTGGTGTTGTTCTCTGTAAGTATCTGAAGCCATTCTCTGTACCGGAGCCGGAGGATAGTAGCCGCCTTGGTTTACTTGTCCTGTAGCTACTGGTCTCATGACGCCTTGTGGTTGTTGCGGCGGTGGCGCGTGGTATACAGTTCCGGGATGTGGAGATGGTGACGGTGATGGAATCATGTATACTGGTTGCTGCTCCGGTATTCCTAATCCCGTTGTTGGAAATACGCCTCCGGTATTATTATTGTGGTTTCCTTGCCAGAAAGTCATCGGAGGAGCTTGTGTAATCGTCGGCTGCGGTGGAGGTGGTTGCACCGGAGTATGAGCATACGTCGGAGGAGGAACGTAACCTCCGGTTTCATCTTCGCTCTTTCTTCTGTATACAGCTTCCTGATCCCTAATTTGCATCCTCTGAAATTCCTGCATTTGTCTTTGAATATCAATCGGATTCACGCCGTGATCGGGTTGAATCACGCGAGGATCGTTGAACAACGGAGGTTCAAGCACCGCCGGAACAGGTAATTTAACCTCAGTCGGCGGTGGCGGTGGCGGCGGAGCGACGATTTTCTCCGATCCAAACAGAAAATCAGCGTTATTCGGAGTAGCGGTTACGGATTTCTCCGATTCAGATAACCTAGGAACCGTATTAAGCGCCTCAACGAATCGATCTCGATCCGATTGAGTCGAACCTTGAGAACCAAATCCACCGGAAGAAGCCGGGAAGAGAAACAAGCGCATCCTCGCTGGTTTAGACGACATACGAAGCAAACGATCGTACTCGTGCATCATATGTTCGAGATCATCATCGTTAGTAACAGAGATCAAAGCGTCTAGGTCTTCTCCAGGAAGCTGATACTTAAACGAAACATCTCCGCCGCCGTCACCACCGCCGCAGACGGCGGAGAGCTTCGAAGCTAAAACGGAGAATCTAATACCGCGATCAACGGAGAGGATCTTCGTTTCACCGTTTACATAAGTAAGCTGATTATCATGAGGACGAGGCTGAATCTTACCTCCATAGCTACACATGAACTTCACCTTGTAGCTCTGTGGTTGCTGCTGGTTCTGATCATCCCACGGCGGTGGATTATCGAAGTCGATTTCACGAGATCTCGGTGAAGAATCAGTCGAATCTGGATAAGAGTTGTACGAGAATTTCTCCATCTTGTGATTAATCAATTTTTTTTATTTTTTGAATTGAGGAAGAAATGGAGAAGACTGATATGGTTTTTATTATCATGGCGAAGAAACGGTGGTAGTGATGTTGGAAAATGCTAACTTGACAGGACCTTTGTACGTTTTAACTTATTAATCTGTTACACGTGGCCTGTCAGATTAAGGCAGTGATGAGATTGTGTAACTGTCTGTGACGTTAGCCGAATCTCTCCGCCCGCGGATTAAACTATGGTGGGACCAACTAGTGTTTGATACTTCGACCTTCACGGGCCAAA